AGGCCACATAATGGGGCTGCAAAGGCCGCGCGTACGGCCCGTACCGTGGCCAGGGGCCCGTATAACGGTCGGGAAACTGTACGGCCACCGTGCGACGGGCACACACTGCTCTTGAGTTTTTTTCGAAGCACAAGTAACGGAGACGATGAATCCACCGCAACGGCGGGAAAAGACGAGAGCTCAACGAGTAGGAAGGCTTAATGCGCTCAAAAAGTGACGGGATGAAACGGAAAACACAGAAACGTAGAAACTAATCAAACAACACAAAGCTGTTTGCAAGAAACGCGATCAAGGTAGTACATGAAACAAACCACGGAAGACACAGAACTGTCGTCTCACGTGGGAAGATAGAGATTGACACAGGAGGGGGGAGAGAGAGAGAGAGAGAGAGAGAGAGAGAGAGAGAGAGAGAGAGAGAGAGAGAGAGAGAGAGAGAGAGAGAGAGCTGCGAACACATGTCTCACCTGTGGAACAGACGCAAAGCAATCGCTCGCCAGCGTTAAGGACAAGGTGGCATCAGAGACAAGATCCTTCTTCAGACAAGTAGGACAAATCTGGAAGGGGGAATTGTGAGCTCAGTGTGTGAAGGTGATTTCGGGCCGGGAGGAGAGAGAGAGAGAGAGAGAGAGAGAGAGAGAGAGAGAGAGAGAGAGAGAGAGAGAGAGAGAGAGAGAGCAAGTAGCGCCTGTCCACAGCCAGCAACTAATCCCCTCCTTTCTAGGTCATGCCGACTGGAGACCACCGCGATCGGTTCCGCAGAAGATACCTCTCCACGCGTTGCAGCACCCCGCGTCCGGCCACCGCCATAGCTTGAAGCGCCCCAGCTATCCCCTCCACCGTGTCCACCCCCCGCTCCTCCTCCTCTTCTTCCATCCACGCTTCCGATCGATGAACAAGATGAAGCTACCGATGATGACGACACCTTGCCGTCCTCGTCACCCACCATCGCGATCCTCTCGTTCGGCGTGACACTTCGTTGCTTTCAAAATTACGTTGCCCACTGTTGATTTCCCGCCTGCATGATAATCCTGTTGCACACACCCAACCCAAACTGTTCACGCTGCAAGGACAACGACAGCAGGACGGCAGCTTGGCAAGCGCCCTTCCACAGATCATGCACGACCTCTCTCTCTCTCTCTCTCTCTCTCTCTCTCTCTCTCTCTCTCTCTTGCGCCTTGAGAAATCCGAGTATAACGATCCTGCGTTCTGTTCGGCGCACAAACAGGGGCACGGTAGCTTGGCAGTGGTCTATTAGATTTTCCAGCTACCGTGCTGGAGACTGCGATCGCGATAGCAATGAGGTTTGCGATCACACACGCACGCGCGACACACACACACACACACACACACACACGCTCTCTCTCTCTCTCTCTCTCTCTAGACGTAACTTTGATTGCCAGGAAAAATCAGGGCATACCAGCGAGCTGCTTTTTTCTTTGCCCCCTTTATTGCGCTATGTTAGTTCACCTGTTATTCGGACCGTTTCTTGATTTATGTGCGTCATCGTGTTTTTTTTTCCCCTTCTGTTCACCTGTTTTTTGCGGTTTTATATTGGGAGGAACGTTTTTTTTTTTTTTTTTTCCTCAATCGTCATGATGGCACGTGGAATGAAGTTTGCGATCACACATGCACACAGACTCTCTCTCTCTCTCTCTCTCTCTCTCTCTCTCTCTCTCTCTCTCTCTCTCTCTCTCCCCCACACACACACAGCTCCTCTTGCGAGTCGTCGTGACCCATTTTCCTCCTCCCCTCGAATACAAGGCATCGTTGTTACTTTCTTGGGCATTAGAATTTGAACAGGAATGCATGTAACCGCATTAGCCGCTCAGATACGGATTCACTTAATGGAGGGCATGGCCACGCATGGCCACTGATTGGCCATGCGCTTCATTGGAAAACCTATTAATCGTTTTTGTTTTCAAATTATCGTTAAAAAAAATCAGAATTAGGATAACCTCTTGCAGCTTGGGAACGCGTCCGTCCACCTCAAAAAGGCTGATGGCTGATGGGTAATGGCAAATGGCTATTGGCTATTGGCTATTGGCTATTGGCTAAGGGCTCATGGCTCATGGCTGGTAGCAATCCAAAGGGAGTAGTAGTAGTAGTACGAGCAGTGGGAGGGGATAGATAGGCTACTACAATCTTCCCGCGAATATACAGCACGGTCATTATAGCTTATTTATCCTTATGAAACCTAACTCTAAATTGTCTATACCATGCTGTGTTTCCTATATTTGTTTCCAACTCTGCGGCGAGCCTCCAGAGGCTCGCTAGAGGCCTTCGTCGGCTCTCGCAAGAGTCAGCCTCTTGGGACAAGGTAAGGTATTGTTTTAGACATGTTATGAACAATGTCGTAGTTCAAACTACATCCTCCACAAAGAAGTCAAAATCGGCGCACTTCACAGCCATTTGCTCTAACCACTGATCTATGTTGTAGACGAGCGTCGTTCAAGTCCGACGAAACAGTCTCTCTGGCACAATCATGCCTTTTTTTAGTGAAGCGAATATGACAACACACACACACGTCCCCCACACAGACAGTACATACGCACATTCTCAGCATCTCAGCCTGTCATTGGGTATCCATGGCTGAGTGGGTGTACAATTTGGGAATTGATGATGGCACAGGTGCTTTAGCTCTCTCTCTCTCTCTCTCACACACACACACACACACCGTGACAAGCAGACAGAGAAGCAACAAAACTGTTCTCTCTCTCTCTCTCTCTCTCTCTCTCTCTCTCTCTCTCTCTCTCTCTCTCTCTCTCTCTCTCGCGCGCGCGCGCGCGCNTCTCTCTCTCTCTCTCTCTCGCGCGCGCGCGCGCGCGCACACACACACACACACACACACACACACACACACACACACACACACACACACTCAACCAGTTTTATGCCTGTCTGTCTTTCTCCTGTTGTTTGTCCTCCATCCGTTTTTTTCTAAAGTATTTTTCTGTGCGCCTAACTGAGCACCCTTAAGTAGTGCCAAACAGTCAGTGGTTCCTCGTTTGGAGTGCCAACTGCACTCTGAGGGGGGCCGCTCGGTTCGGGATGTCTGTGTTGCCTGTCGGTGATGACGGATGGTCGTCGGAGTGTCCCCCTGGCTCAGCGGGTGGTGGGGACCAACAGTCTGCGGGGTTCTATCGTGATGTGAGTAGGTCATGTGTTGCTTTGCTCCGTGTTGGATGTGTGGACGTCCTCATCTGCGCTCCGCCGCTGCCCTGCTGCCTGTCTTGCTTGCTTCTCGTGTGGTTCTTTGCGGGTTGATGCGTTCGCTGTGCGGTGTGGCCGCGTTGTTGGTGTTGCCTTACGCTTCGCTGCTCCGCTGCCATGCTGCTCATCCGTTGGCCGTGCCTTCCGTGCCTGCCGCTTGTGTCCCCTGTCGGTTGGTTACCTTGCTGCTGGTGCCTTGTGCTCCGCTCCATGGTTGCCCAGCTGCTGGGTCACTCGCCCTGTCGTCCCCTGCAGTGCTGTTGCCTTGCTTGTGTTGCCTTGTGCTTCACTACACGGCTGCTGCGCTGCGTGCCATGTCATTCCTTGCAGTCGTTTTTGGCATTGTGCGGCCGTGTTGCCTCTACTGTGTTGCCTCGTGCTTCACAGGGTTGCTGCCCTGCTGCTATGTTCCTCTTGGGGATAGTCTGCCTTCAACAAGGGTCAAAGGGTTCATGACCCAAACCATCAAATACGGGGATTCCGCAGATTGTCGAGGGTTCAGCCTCCTGATGAGTCGGTGCAACTCCGATGAAACAATCTTTCATCTTCATTTTTTTGGGTCTCTTTCTTTTTGTCATACTTAGTTTTTTGGTTGCTACTTTTGTCTTGCTGCTGTTTGGCTCGCTGTTGTTTCCCTGCTGCTTTTGGCTGTTTGTCTCCCCACCTGCCTCCACCATGCCTTCCCTTGCCTTGTGTTGTTCGCCCTGTTACATGCTGCTTGTTTGCTCCCCCTGCCTCCCCCGTGCCCTCTAGCCTTCGTCCGCTTGTTGTTCATCACAGTGCCTCCCTGCCTTGCCAGCGTGCTGTTTGCCCTGTTAAGTGCGTCCCTGCCTTGCCGGTGTGCTTTTTGCTTGTTTTGGTCATGCCATATGAAGTGGACAATTTATTTTTCTGGTATGTTTCTTGAAGTGCCTTTCTGCGCAGCTGGCCGCGTCGACTGACTTGGGGGTTTAGTAACAAATATCACACACACACACACACACGAGAGAGAGAGAGAGCATGTATCGCCCTGTCCACTGTGAATGGCCTCTTTTCTCTCTGACGCACACACACAGAAACGCACACTGTAATGACCTGCCAAAACACAGAGTGAGGCTGATTTCTGAGTTTGCCGTTGGAATGTATATGGCTTGCTGAGATTCCCACGTTCTGCTAAGTTTTCTAAGTCTGTGTGAGTGCGTGCTTGCTGGTCCGTGAGCCTGTCTGAGTGCACGTTTGCTTGAGGTGGTGATTGCAGTCAGACGCAGGTACGACCGTGATTGCAGCCGGATATTGTCTACAAACTCTCTCTCTCTCTCTCTCTCTCTCTCTCTCTCTCACATGCATGCATGCACACACACACACACACACACACACACACACACACACACACACACACACACACACACGCACCTACACACACTTACACACACAGACACGTCTTTTAGACGAATAAGCACAAGGCATGAACTCAAAATCTCAACATGTTGTAATCACGGAATGCACAGGAGGGGGACTTAAGTTTGCTTAAGCTTCTTATCATTGTGTCCTGCAGCCACCTGCTGCCCAGGGAACTGAGTTCATTACCAATACAAACTGCCATTGCTACTTCAGCTCGAGTTGTTTTTTTTTTTTTTCGTTTTTTTTTTTGCCTACCCTCTCATCAACATTGTAGCAGAGAGATGGGGGGAGGTGATTTTGTCCATGCACCAGAGCCCTTATGGAAACCTTGTCTGCGGGACAAAAAAAACATGGGTGGCCCCCCATTTTGGATGCAACGGGTATTCAACGGGATTCAAAGGGGTTGCAATGGGATTGAACAGGAATTTAATTCCAAAAAAAATCCTCCATTGAATCGGTTACTCAGACTGCAACTCTGTGTGTGTCTCTCTGTCGGTTGGTTGTCACTGACTGTGAAGACAGACCGTATAGCACGAGCGAGAGGCCATCTCATGGTGCAGCAGCAATGGAGAGTCCTGAAGCTGCGGTCTCCTCTCTGGAGATCGCATCACCACCAGTGTCGTGGTCTTCTGCCAGCGTCCAAGCTGCTTTCAAATCACGGGACAGCTTTTTGGAAGAGAGCGGTCCATGCGCGGTGGACCTTAGCAAAGCTGTGTTCGATGCGTGGAAGAGCTCGGGCAAAGCTGAGGTCACATCGCTGCTCGGCACTCTGCTGACCAAAGAGCAGTCTTTGGGCCTCCGCCCCGTGGAGGGACCTGTTTCACTTGTCTTTCGCACAGGCTGCCAGTTCACAGGACGGCTGAACCAGGGGCGGATCCAAGGGCTGGGAAGGTACCGATGGACCGACGGCGTCGTGTACTTGGGGGCTTTCAAGGACAGTGCCATAAGCGGGGTAGGTAGTTACTTGTGGCCTGATCTGACGGTTTACCAGGGAGAGGTGGAGAACGGGAAAAGGCAGGGACAGGGTGCGCTGGCCGTCAGATTGAACTCGGAATCGAGCGTCATCCGATACATAGGTGACTGGCAAGACGGACTGAGGGAGGGGAGGGGCATTTGCGAGAGCCACGTGGTGGGAGAGCCATACCCAAGACGGTACGAGGGAGAGTGGGTGCAAGACCGTCGAAGTGGGTTTGGGACTTTCCTGTTTGGCAATCAGCAGAGCGAGTACCAGGGGATGTGGGCCCTTGACAAGCCCCATGGGCAGGGGATGATGAGTTGGTGCTCTACGGCGGCTGCAACAGTTACTACACCTCCCAGTTCCAAGCAGCTGGCTGCGTCGGAGTCAGACGTTCAGCAGCAGACACTCACGCTGAACGCACTGCCAGAGAATGCTGCAGCTTCCAGACGTCCTTCTTCTTCCGGATTGCTTCAGGAGGAGAAGAGTGTGCTAAAAAAATCTCCTTCTACGGACTTGGGAGGTAACCAGGAAGTAAGTAATGTCGGGTCCAGGCGCTCTTCGTCTATGGCCTCCACCAACATCAACGAGGAGAAGATGGTGGAGAAGAATGTCCGACGTCTTTCTGGAGACTTGGTTAAGGAGGAGAAGACTGTCAGCAGGCGTCCTTCTTCGGAGTTGGTCAAGGAGGAGACGAACGTCGGACGTCCTTCTACAGACAGGCCTCCTAAGGAAGAGGACATGAATGTCCGGCGTCCATCAGAGGTGGTAGAGGAGGAGAAAACCGGCAGGCGACAGTCCTTAGGCACAGCGAGCGAGTTGAAGGATGGCAGCATTGCCAAGCGGCCTCCTCCTGAGTCTGCCAAGGACGAGAAGAATGTTAGGCGTGCTTCTCTGCCGACGAAGGAGGAGGTGCATGTTGCTGTACGGCGTGCTTCCGCAGACTGGGTACAAGACGAGCAAGCAGCAGATGCCAGGGGGGCTTTAGACTCGAGAAAGCAGGAGAAAAACGGCAGACGTCTTTCTCTTCAAGCTGAGGCCGGCGTGAAAGAGAACAGGAATTCGAGGCGATCTTCTTCGCTGTCAGTGAAGGAAGAGAGCGGTTCAAGGCGTCCGTCTTCACAGTCAACGGAGGAGCTATCGAACATTCCTGAGACGACGATCGCCCCTTCAGTGGCTACCCAAGCAATCGCAGAAGCAATACCGACCGTTGATACAGAAGAAGCAGATCGGGGGCACTATCTCAGAGTCTACAAGAAAGTGGTGGAGGAGAAGATCAAGCACTGGAGATGGAAAAGGGAGGAGGGGGAGGTACAACAACTGGGTGCTGACAGGAACCTTGTGGAGTCATACATGGGGCAATGGGAGAACGGTCTTCCTTCTGGTGAGGGTCATTATGCTTGGTTTGTTCGATCATCAGATCCAGTTGCAGGTGATGAACCTCGTACTACAGGTGCCGTAGTACCAGGTCCAGCACCTGGTCCGTCCGTTGGACCAGATGGTTCGCAGAAGTCTGCTGGATTCGGACTCGATTTTGGAGCAGGGGGGCCCCCCCGACCCCCACTTGGACCGTCGAAATACGATGTTGTGCTTCAGGGGGAGAAGAGTCTCAGTGTGGTCAAGCCGCCTCCTTCTAGTACTACGGACTTGAGGACCAAGAACGAGGCGAAGAATACCGGGCCCAGGCGTTCTTCTTCTTCTATGGCTTCCACGAACGAGGAGAAGAACGTTAGACGTCTCTCTGGAGACTTGGTTAAGGAGGAGAAGACTGTCAGCAGACGTCCTTCTTCGGAGTTGGTTAAGGAGGAGACGAACGTCGGACGTCCTCCCTTCGAGAGTTTGCCGCAGGAGGAGAATAGTGTGCTCAAACCTCCTCCTTCTAGTATGGACTTGGGGGGTGCTAACGAGGTGAAGAATGTCGGGTCCAGGCGTTCTTCTTCTATTGCCTCCACGAACGAGGAGAAGAACGTCAGACGTCTCTCTGGAGAAGTGGTTAAGGAGGAGAAGACTGTCAGCAGGCGTCCTTCTTCGGAGTTCGTTAAGGAGGAGACGAGCGTCGGACGTCCTTCCGCAGACAGACTTCCTAAGGAAGAGGATGATGCATTGCCAGTGCCAGGTGTCAGTCGATCCGATTCCAACCTATTCAACCTGAAGCTCAATAACTGCTATGTGGGGGAGTTCAAGAGTGGGCTACGGGACGGCCAGGGCTGCTTCTTCTATGCCTCTGGAGCGACCTACATTGGCACCTGGAAAGCGAACCAGAAGGAGGGCCGAGGGTATCTCACCACGAGCGACGGCGATAGTAGATCCTGTCGCTTCACCGACGATAGAAACACCTTGCCATCCTCTCCGACAGCTTCGCAGAACAGCGAAGCCACGACTCTAGCGCAAATGGGCGCTTTGGAGGGGGCAAGACCTCGTCGCAAGCCGTCACTCCGCTATGACATCCTGTATATTGGAATGGAAGACCTGATCAAACTAGAGGACGACCCGGAGGATTGCCAGAGGTCAATCAAAAGATTACTCTTGGTCACCAACGCGCAATTGTACAAAATTTTCCGTTTCTACGCATCCATACATCCAGTCGTGCCCAGAGAAGGTGGTACCCTGGGAGGAAAAGACGGAGAACGAGGAGGAGGAGGAGGAGGAAGAGGAGGAGGAGGAGGAGAGGGGGGAGGAGTTCCGCCTGGAGGAGGGGAAGGAAGCAAGGAAGTGGCGAGAGGAGGAGTCGAAGGAGGAGGCGGTCGGGATGTGGAAGCGCCACGTGTCCGAGGAGGAGGAGGAGGTAACAGCGAGCTGCCACGTCGAGAGGAGGGGGAAGGGGGAGCTCGACAAGCCGTTGAAGAAAGACGAATAATAGATGGGGGGGGAATACCAGGAGTCCCAGGAGGAGGAGGAGGAGGAGGAGGTGGAACAACCACTGGTGCAGCAGCAGCAAGAGGAGGCGGGGCAAGAACAGGAGGAAGCGGGCCACCGGGGCCAGGAGCAGGAGGAGGTGGGCTTGGACCAGCAGCAACAGGAGGAGGAGGAGGAGCAGGAGGAGGAGCAGGAGGAGGAGGAGGAGGAGGACAAGGTGGAGGGGGAGGTGGTGCCAGCGGCGATCATCCAGTGTTGCAATCAGAAGGAGAGGGAGGCGGTAGAGGAGTAGAGCAGCAGACTGAAGGTCAGTTGCTTCAACAGATTTTCAGTCTCCGAGCGAAGGTTATGTTCGCTTGGCAGTTTTGGGAGCTTGCCACGGACTGCAACATTTGGTCGGAGTCGTTTCCGCTTTCACAGATCAATCGAATCGTCTTCACTGGCAGGTCGAATCCACAAGAACCCAACAATACTCTACTCTACTGGGAGTTTGTGGAAAGACTGGTGCACCTAGCTTGCTACAAATACCCTGACATTCCCTCGCGGTTAAATCGGGTTGAGCAATTGATGAAGTCGAACATCCTGGGCAATTGGCCTGCCAAGCTCGATAACCGCTTAGCAGAGACGATTGCACCTTCCTCGGGCCTTGCTCCTCCTCCTCCTCCTCCTTCTCCTTCTCCTCCTCCTCCTCCTAATCTCCCCTCTCATGTCACGCGTCCCTCTCTCCTCCTCGTGAAGGAAACATCATCATCACTGACGACGACTTCAACGGCAGCAAGTGCTAGTTCTATTGCTGGGAGCTAAATTTTATTTT